GATGTGACCCCCCTCTCTCTCTCGCAAAACTCCGCATTTGAACAGTCAATAGCAAATACTTCTACTACTAATAACAAAACAGTAGCTGATTCAGAAGCGCCAGATTGTCATAGCAAAGTCAGAATTACCTCCTCTCCTAGGTTCATGAAACGGTCGTCCATAAAATGCATTGCTGTTCTGTTGCAAGTAATCTTAAATAGTCTTTGCAACTTCAGGGATCTTATCTATGCACAATCAGCTTGTAACACTCCAAAGAGAAAGGAAAACTTGAAATCACATCATATGACCCTTTTAAAAAAATCTATTTATGATTTTATCTAAAAATTCTTGTAAATCTAAAAAGTTTATATCTTACAGTTCAATGAGAAAAAAGTCAGAACTGCAAGATAAAAAGTCACAATTACCTAAAATGCCTACTTACATTAAATAAAGATCTCGACGATGGAACATTTCACATTTTGAAGTATGATAAATGCTAAATAGAAAATACAGTGCCTTGCAAACCTGAATCATTAATAGGTGCGTTGAATAAAAGTTCAGTATAAAATAGAAAATGTGTCTAAATCCCTCCAACTTGCATCATTGTGAAATTTTAATATAAACATTTCTGTCAGGAATTTGCTAATAAAATTTCATAATGACAAAAGTTCAGTAGTGTGCAGGAGTCTGATAAAGGCTAAAATGTAAGAACATGTAATAATGAAAATTCCCAGCAATTGTTTATTAGATCAATGACCAGTTCAGTGACAGGAAGCACTAAGTACCAAGCAGTTAACTGAATCACCAAGTAAAAACATGATTATCAATATTTAAAGGACATAAACACCAGCACAATGACTGGTAAAAAAGTGACTATCACAAACTAGGGTAAGAGAAGCAAAGTGCCAAGCAAAGCTCTTGTAGAGTCACTCCTAAAATTACGAGCTAACACCTAAGAGAAACAAATCACTGATCCTTGGAAATGCAAGCGTCTGCACAATGAAACCGCTCTCTGTACAAATAAGGCACACAAATGTCAGGTTTATGAACTTCCACTGTATGTTCAAAAAACTTAAATCCTCCCCCTCATTTTGCTGTCAAGCCATAATCAGCTTCCTTGGTCACGACTAATGAACTCAGAAACTTATGGATCCCACATCAATGGTGGATTATTTTGGTGCTCAGGGGTCCATCTCTTTCTACCCTTACTTTTGTTTATACCCTCATTTACTGTTTGATTCCTTGTTATTAAAGCCATCATTATGTGCGCGCTATGAAGGGCTATGTCTCCTCTGTGCTGAGTAGCCTGCGGAAACAAAGCAAGTAGTAAGCAAATACATAATAATGTAAGACTGAATTAGAGGAACTGCATAATGATCTTTCTGAAAACAGATTCTATTGGCACTTTTCCACTGCATGGTACGGCACGGTACAGTTCACTTTTGAAAGGTTTTCCACTGGGTACAAACTTACATTAAATAAAGATCTCGACGATGGAACATTTCACATTTTGAAGTATGATAAATGCTAAATAGAAAATACAGTGCCTTGCAAACCTGAATCATTAATAGGTGCGTTGAATAAAAGTTCAGTATAAAATAGAAAATGTGTCTAAATCCCTCCAACTTGCATCATGGTGAAATTTTAATATAAACATTTCTGTCAGGAATTTGCTAATAAAATTTCATAATGACAAAAGTTCAGTAGTGTGCAGGAGTCTGATAAAGGCTAAAATGTAAGAACATGTAATAATGAAATTTCCCAGCAATTGTTTATTAGATCAATGACCAGTTCAGTGACAGGAAGCACTAAGTACCAAGCAGTTAACTGAATCACCAAGTAAAAACATGATTATCAATATTTAAAGGACATAAACACCAGCACAATGACTGTTAAAAAAATGACTATCACAAACTAGGTTAAGAGAAGCAAAGTGCCAAGCAAAGCTCTTGTAGTGTCACTCCTAAAATTACGAGCTAACACCTAAGAGAAACAAATCACCGATCCTTGGAAATGCAAGCGTCTGCACAATGAAACCGCTCTCTGTACAAATAAGGCACACAAATGTCAGGTTTATGAACTTCCACTGTATGTTCAAAAAACTTAAATCCTCCCTCTCATTTTGCTGTCAAGCCATAATCAGCTTCCTTGGTCACGACTAATGAACTCAGAAACTTATGGATCCCACATCAATGGTGGATTATTTTGGTGCTCAGGGGTCCATCTCTTTCTACCCTTACTTTTGTTTATACCCTCATTTACTGTTTGATTCCTTGTTATTAAAGCCATCATTATGTGCGCGCTATGAAGGGCTATGTCTCCTCTGTGCTGAGTAGCCTGCGGAAACAAAGCAAGTAGTAAGCAAATACATAATAATGCAAGACTGAATTAGAGGAACTGCATAATGATCTTTCTGAAAACAGATTCTATTGGCACTTTTCCACTGCATGGTACGGCACGGTACAGTTCACTTTTGAAAGGTTTTCCACTGGGTACAGTACCTGGTACTAGGGATGGGCGTATCGATCCGAAGTATCGATACTGACGAGAGTATCGAAAGTATCGATACTCAAACAAAAAAATATCAATACTAAGGTGTGTTTTATTTACCAGTGATTTTGTTTAACAAAAAAATAATAATGCATAAAATATGCATTGAATTGGATGAATAACCTTTGTTAGTGAGTAATTGTGTACGATAGAACTATTTTCCTGCTCATATGAACACGCAAATGTTGGAAGACAGAACTAATCAATCACAGAGAGCGTTCACTCACTTCTGACAGTGCATACATTTACATTTACATTTAGTCATTTAGCAGACGCTTTTATCCAAAGCGACTTACATACAGGGCTCCTTTTCCCAAAAGTATGTCCCTTATGAAAATGAACCATGGTTTTACTAAAGTGACCTTAGTTCAACTGTAGTATTAGTAGATTTGAATCATGTGTAAACAAAAAACATATTTGAACCATGTGTAAACAAAAAATCTAACCTAATAATTTACAATTAAGGCGTATTGCATGTTAAAATGCATTTTAAACAAAGTTAAGTGCTTATTACCTATTTTACTCTTAGTAATTTAATAAATGTTATAATTTAAAAGTTTAAGTTCAGAAGTATCGAATCGATATAGACGATACTGCCTTGAAAAATATTGGTATCGTATCGAAAACAAAATAAGTGATATCGCCCATCCCTACCTGGTACCTGATACTTTTTTCAGTACTACCTCGGTTGAGGTTCCAAGCGAACCATACCGTTACCAAAACGTTACCACAGATTGGCCGGAGAGAATCGTCACTACCTGCGTCATTGAACTGGCAACACGAGACATAACAGACATAACATAACAGTGCAGATTTAAATCAGCACAGCCAGCGAAGGATTGAACGCAACTGTTTTGAACAAACGCACCTTTTTTAACAAACAAAAAATGGCTGTTTCGTTGTATGTTGAGGAAGTACAGACGTTCCTCTCATTGAGAGGAGTGGATCCAGCGAGCTTGATGGGGCGATGTGGAATGAAAAGGTTTTTCAGGAGTCGCGGCAGTAGAGGCGGTGCAACTATAATGAATAATCATGTGAATAATCCTGCCCACTCTAAAGCGGTACTAAAATGCAGTGGAAACGCAAACCGAACCAAGCAGAGTCGTATCACACAGTGGAAAAGCGCCATATGTAAGCTGAAAGGATGTGAAACACTTATTGTGAAATCACTAGCTGTTCCAAAACATAGTGAGCTACATAGACATCATTTTAGACAACAGGCTTCTGTTGATGTAAAGGCTGTTCCGAGAACAAGATTGAATGCATTGCAACAAGCTCAAAGAAAATTCTATAAAAATGGCAGACCAAAAGCCTACAGTGGTATATTTCTATTAGATATTGCCTACTTCCAAGCATGAAGTTTCTGGACGTCCAATGCTCAGATGATGATTTGGAAACCAAATCCACAACTGAACCAAAAAAAATTAAATACTGGGTTTTATTCCATTATTTATGACTGATTTAAATGAACATTGAACTGATTTAAGCTGAATAGCAAAACCATTGTTTGATCTGAAATAGTTTCATAATGAATTAACTTCACGCAGATATTGAACTGAATCGACACTAAACTGACTTGAGCTAAATAATGACACTATTGTATTTTTTAGAGCTGTTTTACAGCTGAATTTGTCTAATATATAATGACATTTCTATCAATTATGTTATTTTCCAGTAACGCTGCTTCGAAACAATTTGCAGTGTATACAGTTCTATATAAATAAAGGTGACTTGACCTGGGTTTTAAACACCTATTCCTATCCCAATAAACTGGTTTTATTATCATAAAACGTAGGAAGTTTGACTCATCTCCAATGCTTTACATCATTTACATTTACTTGTAAAAGATGACACCATCTTAGTGTATCATCATTCATCTGCACTTACTATTTGGTACCCAAAACTTACTATTTTACCCTATATATATATATACAGTGGGTACGGAAAGTATTCAGACCCCCTTAAATTTTTCACTATTTGTTATATTGCAGCCATTTGCTAAAATCATTTAGTTAATTTTTAATTTAATTTAAGTTAATTTTTTTTCCACATTAATGTACACACAGCACCCCATATTGACAGAAAAACACAGAATTGTTGACATTTTATGTATATATATATATATATATATATATATATATATATGTACCCCCATTTTATTATTATCTAACCATCATGCCAGTGTCATTTGAGAGTTGAGTGTCCCATGCACTGTATGTTAGCAGATAGGATGTTTCCTTAGAAGGCAGCACCCTATGTAGACAGCACACTGGGTTTTGGAACATTTGGGGCAATTATCGGCCCTCATGCATTTCCCTGCAACAGATTTTCCTTGATTTAGCCTCCATCCATTTGAAGGATCCATTAAAGGGAAGACCTGAAACTGAAGTGTTTGTGGATGCACACACACTGCTGTTGTGAAGAATGGCACTTAAGAGACAAGGTCTGGGATGAGAATGGAGGAGACTGGAGTGGCCCTCTTACCCAGGGAGGGAGGGCTGAGGTTTTTTTGGAGGGGGGATGTCTCTCAGCGGCCATGACATAAGAGCCACCACCATTTCTGTAGATCAAACAAGAGCATCAGCAGCAAAGCAGCTCATAAGAGGTGTGGCACCAAAAAAAAAAAAAAAGGAAAAAAATTCCCATGAACACCCAGTGCTACACCACTGCCACGGAAAGGAACATCTGGAGGTCGAAGTGTCAGATCGTTGAGCGATCCTGAGGAAAGCAAGGCCACTTCACCCTGCAACACTTTCTATCAAATGTACAAGCACAGTGAGTAGCATTTTTTCCACAATCACCACTCAGTTACATAACAAAGACAAGATCATACTCACCTCCTGTGGATAAGGAATATAACCGGCATATGCGAGCACAAAAGTACAGAACTTGTTGAAATCTTCCACTGTTCGTTTCCGCTTAAATGTTGAACTGTAGCCCTGCAATAAAAAAAATAGCGTCAATACAGACATACATCTTTTAAAGTGACTATTTTTATCTATTTAGTGCCATGAGTTTAAAAGGTTAAATCAGCATTTCGTTCTTGTGAAAATGATTAAAGCCACTTGATTATGACCAAACTGCAGTGCCATATGTTGTTAAGCCAATCAGAAATGAAGCAATGTGTGCCTCATTAAATTATTATTGAACTTCATGTTTAAATCAAGGGTAACGTATGAAAGTGTAAACCATGCAACAAAATGAATCAGGATTACATTACATTCAGCAAAACTTATGTCACCAAATGGATTAAAAACAAACAAACAAGCAAATAGTGACTGCTTTCAAACAGGTAGTCCCACCCCTAGCACATGCCATTGGTTGAGTCACTGTTGTTGTTCTGGGTTGGTCACAATGCTCAAACAAACACAGTAATGGTTTGAGAGCATTACAGAGTTTAAGTGATTATAGGAGAATCAACATAGAACAGTTTACTTATTGTCTCTGCATATAGAGTTTAACAGTTGGGTTCCAGAAGTTAAAATCCCATTCATTTTCTCCATAGGGGAACTGATTTTCAACAATAACTTTAAACCTTTAAAGACAGCCATACTGTGTTACAAGACTGTTAATCAATGGTATGTGTTTATATTGAAGCCATGAGGCTGCATTATTTCAACTTAATTGTTAAAGAATCATGTTTAATATTGGAACACCTGGTGCAAAACTATATTACCCATGATTCTACAAAAAAAACAAAAACAAAACACCAATCACAGAATCGAAACAAACAAATAATGCCGAAAGAATGATATTATATATACAAAATTATTCTTTAAATCAACAGTTTTATATTTCTCCATAGTTTTTCCATTCGTTTGCTCGAATTGTTTATATTTTTCCATTTGTGTATGTGTGTGAGAAAATATATATATTTTATATATGTACATATTTTAAAATAGGCACTTATAAGTCGCTAACCTCTGCTTTACTTTGCAAACCGGAGAGTGGAGGAGTAAAGCAATGTCCGCGCACTGGCTCTGTCCACTGTGCAAATATTCGACATATTGACACCAACGAGCAAAACGACACATCACCGTCATTCAATTACACGATCGACACCAATGTAAATTCGCCTGATATACTACAACGCCGTTTGCTTCGACAAAACTACATGTTTGATGTAAACACGTTTTAAATAACGTGACCGAATGTTAAAGGGGTCCTATTATGCTCTTTTACAAAGTCTTGATTTTGTTTTGGGGGTGTACTAGAACAGGCTCTCATACTAGGTTGTTCGAAAAACACATTATTTTTCACATATTTTACATTATTACAACACCTCTCCCCCCAGTCTGGCATAAACGGCTCGAATAGTTCCTGTATCAAATGAAGGCCCGCCTTCTGAAATACGAAATGTGCTGTGATTGGTTAGCTGGGCCAGTGTGTGCTGTGATTGGTTAGCTGGGCCAGTGTGTGCTGTGATTGGTTAGCTGGGCCAGTGTGTGCTGTGATTGGTTAGCTGGGCCAGTGTGTGTTGTGATTGGCAGCACTCGGCGCCTGGTCGGGAAATGTCATGCCCCTTACCATAGCCGCCTGCGAGCTTCAGTGTAAATATTGTGTCAAAATCAAATCAATTTGAGCGCGATTTAAACCCGGATGATTGTAACCACTCGAAGTTCATCTGCCTTGGGGAAACTAGCGTATCTACGACACTCGTTGCCTTCTCTAGTGCAGCTCAACCAGGTCTCGTCGATATTTGTGATATCACAAATCCCGGAAAATATGCGTTGTAGTCCAAACGAGTCGTTCGTTGTAGTTTTTGAAATGTGATTTCTGTTAAATAAAATACCTCCTTTTGAAGCGGACTTTGAACTGTGCAACTTTGCAGGGTTTTTTTATGCTCAAACAGCAACATTACAGACTAACTAAAGTTGAAAAAGTGAAAAAGCATAATAGGACCCCTTTAAAAGGCTTGTTTTAGCAACTCGATGCACACTGACTCAACACTAACAGCCCAAAAGAGAACAAAAACTTAACGAGCTTAACAAGATAAAGCCCTTATGAAAACTATGAGGGAAAGCAGAAAACTAACTCCCATCTTCTTTAATTCAAACAAGCTAAACCGCATCTAATGAATTAATGAATCCTTTGATGAATTTACTTATTTTAAGAGGTCAAATTAGTAAATAAATAAGTAAAATCACTGAAATAAGATATGTATTTTTAATATTTTCGATTTTATGATCACACGCTGCGTACTGTTTAACAAGAAAAGCCTATTTTGAACGGTACGTGCATTGAGAATTAACCGGGAAATATGTTCATGCAGAAACACTGAAAATACACAACATAATCTAAAATAACAATAAAAACTGTCATAACTGGGTACAAAAATTACAAAATCAAAATCCTTTTACCTGTGTGTCAAATGGACAAGTCGTCGAGCTGTTGTCCATTTCTATAAGGAAAAAAACTCACATAATGACAGATATAACACCAAACACGCTACAATAACATACAAATTACAGTTAAATCAAGTTACAGTTTCCTGTTTTGATGCATACTGTGCATTATGCTAGTTATGATACCATCTGACTCAACCAAACAATTATTCAAAAACATTAGAACAGCTGTTCAGTTCAATCAATCATTAGAACCTGGTCAGACAAATTCAAGTTTTAAAAAGGGATTTATGAGGATCACATAATACACAGAGTCGTATCTCCACACCTAAACCAACTGCAAAAACACGTATACCTCTTCTAAATACTTTATATTATTATCTTCACATACGTGATTTAACTTCATTAAAAGGTATATGTTTCCGGATCATTTTATTAAATAAATTATGATTTTGTTTGTATCTTTTTGATAGGCAGTCCTCGAGTTCTGACTACTACAGACCTGATCTTTTATGTTTAATAACACTGTATCATTCATAACACATCAATTATGATCAATATCCGCGACTACACAACTAAATCCTCAACTAGATCGAACTGTAATGTCTTTAAACAAAACTTTATCCACTTTTTTCCTCCCCTGCAGGAACTTGCTAATTGGCTAGCCGTCACGCTAACATTGTTATGACTGATGTTTGTGTCTATAGTGTTTTATTCACGTTTACCTGCTGCTGAAACACATATAGTGGACCACGCGACGGTAAAAAGGTAGATAATTATCCTGGATCGAAAAACAGGCGATGACAGCGGCAGGAGAGATGGAAAACAGTGATTATATGTCCGAATGTGATGAAGATGTGATGGGTGAAACCCAGACAGACAGATCTGCTCATCTGCCAAAATAAAAGTCCTCATTGCATTCATAAGGATTACACATCTATTGGTCAGAAATATAATACACACGTAAAATGTGTATTGTACACTTCGAATGGCATTAGATAAAAAAAAAAAAATCAAACCATGTGCCATTTATTTTAAATAAATAAACCACAAATACAAAGAAACAAAACAAAGATAAGAACAAAAATCACTTGATAGAGTGTATACATTTTTTATTATTAAATCTCATAAATTACTAAAAGTAGAGGTAAAACAAAAATGGAAAGGAATGTTTGCAAGCCGGTGCACATACCACAATTACATGCAAATCAAATTACTTATGAAAGTAATAAATAATAATAAATAAGCGCACCCCATCTGAGCAAATACAGAAAAAAATGTATCCCTAATACAATTCATTGAACGATGGAAAAAAATAATTTTACTAAACAGAGAAATATATGTCAAAAATATCTGCAAAATGAATGCATTTATAAATTTTGTTTAAACGAAGGGTTGCAAAAATTAGCACACACTTGATTAAAGGCAGGGTAGGTGATTTGGTTCAAAAACATTTTTGTTATTCTGATTGAAAGTGACATCCCGATAGCAATCACTAAGTTAAGTGGCCTAAATGTATTAATATGTATTTATAGGTATATAAGGTCTGTGGAAGGCGTAGGACCATAAAATGTTCGTCCAATCATATCCCCTGGTCTGAGGACTATGATAGGCTGTCCTACCTGCCTGTCAACATATGTATTTGTGCTCCATTACCCTATTGCAGACCAAGTGAGAATGGAAGGCGTTATTATTATTATAATATTATGCATTCAACCCTCCACCAACTCCGTCTCTCATCGTGTCGCTGGTTAGCCTCTGCTCTGCCTGTGCACGTTCATCTGCTTTGGAGGAGGCGTGGCTCTGGAGAGTGATTTGCGGGGAGGGTGGAAGCTTATGCTTTCAAAGCTAGCTTGCTATTGCTAGCCTCTCCGAAATCACCTACCCTACCTTTAAATTCAACAAATGTGTAACAATAAGGGATTGAAATTAACTTTTTCCCTCACCAGCCAATTTGGCTACTACATTTTTAAGTTACCGGCCATTCATAACTTCTAGCAGCCAAAAAAAAAAAAAAGAGACAGAAATAAACCAACAGTTTGAGGCCGTCTACACTGGGCGTGACAAAGCGACCGTTGCAAATCATTTTGTGTCAGCACTAGGGGTGTGCAACATTGACAAAAAAATTACATCTCAATATTTTCTGGGATTTTTTGCTGAGTGTGTTATTGTGCTGATTTCTTAAGGACTACCGTGGACAGCTGACTCCTTATGTTTTTGATATATTTCATATTCTGTGTGGTCAGTTCACAGCAGTGATAGAAACTACACTTTTCCAATATGTTTAAATTGATTTTTACCTTTTATGGACATTTTTACCTTTATAAAGCCATTTTTTTCTAAAAGTGTGCATCATCTTTGAAGTCAAATTCTTACATTTAATCAGTCAATTATAATAATAATAATACTTTTAGGCTGTTACTAAACAAATGAAATCAGTATCAATAAAATTCATCTTTGCAGAAGTTGCATACGAAGTGACATTTAGATGTATTTACACGTTAATGCAGTTTAGAGGGACGTGGAATGCTTTAGCCTGCAGTTACAAATGCATAAGTAATGTTTTGATATTTTAAACATGAAATGTTGAATACTGATATTTGAAATTATTAAAAAAATTAAAAAAGATACTTTAAATGTGAAATTAAAACCGCCAGTAGATGGGAGCAAGTAACTGTTAAGTGAATCATTGAAAAATAGCAAACACAGCCAATATGGTCTCTAAACCGTAATTCTCTTGATATTAACTTATTGTTTATTGAACTGTTGTATA